TAAGAATGAAAAGAAACGATTCAGTCAAATACATCATACAACCCTCACTAACTAGAAACGATTCAGTCAACAACTCCTAAGAAAATCAGATGCAAATATTGAAGGGCAAGAGTTAATGGAGAAAAGCACATCAAAAGCAAAAATTGGAATCTGCTATGAGCTATTCAATTTTTAGGGCAATTGATTATATTCAAAGAAATAATGAGTGCACTCGTGATTTCCTACTTGAAACTGGAGAAGAGAAACAACGCTTCCTCTGTTGAAATTCAAGTAATTATATTCAATACCATACAAGTAGGACGAACTAACAGAACATAAAAGCAATCACATAAAGAAATCAGCTTGAAATCATTATAAGTAAAATGCATACTTAAGGTGTACAGAAATCTATCTTAATATTTTGGGCAGAGCATACTTAGAGTACAGAAATCAGCTTGAAACAATTATAGGTAAAATGCACAAGTAAAACTATATAGGCAGTTGAACTTTTAGGATAGAATGCTATGTGTTACCATTCTTACATTTTGGGAAGAACATAAGGTGAGTGTTCACTGATATGCCAAGCAGAGCATCTCCAAGGTACGGAAGAAAATATATGATCATTGCCAAAATGCAAAGTTTAGTTTGATCGATTGCAGAAATTTCAAGTAAATATTACTCCGTACAAGATTAAGATTTAGGGTAAATATTATGGAGTAGATAAATATTGACAAGCTACAAATCATGTACACTTATATAGTTATATATGATTAGCTTGTTCAATTTGTATCATATGACTAACAGGTTATCAGATCAAATATTAAACTTAAACAACGCTTTTCAAAATATAATCAAACAGAGAGATATACCTTGAACCCAGACTTTCAAAAATTAACTTCATCTTGAGAAAATCAGTACACATTTAATAAATAAACAACGAGATTTAAGCGTACCTAATAATGCATTGTTTTCTGTTGCTATTGCAGCAGCATAGGAGTCAAATAGCTATATATTATCTGATATTCCAAATGTTTTCATGCTTGAAAAACAATGGTAGATTAACTTCTCATACAAATATCATATAACAGGCCGAATTAATCCAATCAATAAATAGTCATACTTAATTCTATCAAAGTAATCTAACTTGCTGGAATTTGAAGTTTTCAATTGATTTAATTTCAGCCTTTACTCTCAACTCAAACAAGCACAAGCTCTACACTTATCAACAAAAACTGATCAAATCAAACCATAAATTTGAACTTTTCATCTTCCAAGATGATTCTTGGATTTCAAATAGCTTTACCTCCCACCAATTGCGAGTATAACATACAAAATTCTAGTTTTGAAACTTGCAGAATAAATTCCATAACATATACAAACATCATAACATACTGAAAGTGTAAACCAAATACAATTTCAATTTAAAAATCATAATGGGGCATTAAAATAAATTCATAACATACAAAATACACTAGAAAATTTTAAGTTTGGTGTCAAGAACAGCAGAAATTGTAGTCTAATGCACTAATTTCAGAACCTGAATCAAACTCAAAAAATAGTTTATGCATAACAGAAGTGAAAACATAGATAAAAACAAAGCTAGAGATGTGAAACCTGGCAATTAACTGGTCAGGTCAGAGAATAGTATGAGAATTGGCAAAATAGAGAAGAATTGGAGAACCAGCGAATACAAGAAATTCAAGAATTAGCGAATCCAAAAAGTAGAGAACCCTGTGAATCCAAGAACAAACTGAGCTAAAAGTGTGGAGTTTAGGGAGATGAAAGAAAATTTGTTCTCGATTCGTTTCAACTTTCAACTGCCTTGCCGATTGGGAAAGGGTTATGGCAACGGTCCATGGATTTTTCGAGGATGTCCATTATTGTTAGCACCTTATGATGGGTGGTCGGATGTTGACTCCATCGACCTCTCAACCTTCCCTGAATGGGTGCAAGTACATGATCTAAAGGAGAAAATCAGAACTGGGAGTATTGCATCTCAGTTGGCTTGAAGAGCAGGAACCATCATCAAACTGGATCCAGACTCGGTGACAGCTACCGGTGAAGGAGTGCGTGTGAAGGTGATGAACGACGTCCGTAAGCCTCTAACGCGGGCAGCAAGTACTACACTACATAAAAAGAAAAGATACTTCAGATTCATGTATGAGAAGATGCCGATTTTCTGTGGAGTGTGCGGATGTACTAATAGCGCCACCCACCAGAGACGATTCTATACCCAGATGTACTAATAGCGTCAGAGTTTTAAAAAAGGACCTTGGTCACAGAACCGGTTCCTCTCAAACGGTTTTTGATGGATACGAGGAGAAGAACGAGGACCTTAATGGCATTGCTACTAGCCCAACAAACCCAAAGGAAAAAAAAAGGGCCCCAGAATCATCAAGCAAGAGACGCCTCTTGCTGGAATATAGAGTTATAGACGTACGTCAGTTGTGAATAAGGAAGAACTAGATCAAATGAAAGTTGAGAGGATAGCTATTACCATCCTGGAGAAGGTACATCTCTGGGGAATGATAGTCTGATAGAGGGAGATAGTGGTACAGATGAAGGAAAAGAGAACCTGGGTACTATAATCATCAATAGAAACACAAAGAGGCAGAAAGTGGGAGATGGAATACAATCAAATACTGAAGACTTGGCAACATTGGCGGGCTCCATAGAGGAACTCTGCTGGGCCTAATGTATTCACTTTGCTGGAACTGCTGGGGACTTGGGCAACCCCGGACAGTTCAGGAACTTGTCTCATTGTCTGCATAGTGCAGACGCACAAGCCTAAACTTGTTTTCCTATCAGAAACTAGGCAGGATTGCAAGTATGTGAGCAAATTGAGTTGGCGTATTGGTTTAAGACATTGCTTTGCAGTAAAGGGAGAAGGTAAAGGTGGGGGTCTAGGCCAGTTTTGCGATGAAAGTTTAACAGTGGAACTCCTCTCATATGGGAAACATCATATTCATACACTTGTCAGAGAAGGGGAGCATGGAGTACAATGGCATGGAACCTTTGTGTATGGTGAGCAAAGGTGCAAGACAGACATCATATGTGGACATTGATGCGGCGGATTAAACCAAAATCTGATGCCCCGTGGCTGATGATTGGCGACTTTAATGAGGCTATGTGGCAAAATGAACACTACTCACGGGCTAGAAGGCCTAAAGGTCAAATGATGGAATTTCATTAAGTGTTAACCCACTGTGACCTCCACGACTTGGGGTTTGTGGGATCAACTTGGACGTATGATAATAAACAAAAGGAGGGCCGGAATGTGAAGGTGCGTCTAGATAGGGGAGTCGCTAACCCATCTTGGTCGGCTTTATTTCCGGAGGCAGAAGTCCGACACTTGGTTTCGTCAAGGTCTGACCACTGCCCACTGCTCTTACAGCTCCAGAGACCGAGTGAACAGAAAGGGGAGGAGAGTCAGACATTATGAAATTTTCTGGGAAAGGGAGGAGGTTTAGCACAGGAGATTAAGGCCTCATGGGAACGGACCCGCCCGGTGGAGAATCTTGGCGACATTGCATGCAAACTCCACTCCTTAATGGGTTCTCCACGGGTGACCACTGCCCACCGGAGGCAGAAGCCCGACACTTGGTTTGGTCAAGGTCTGACCACTGCCCACTGCTCTTACAGCTCCGCAGACCGAGTGTGAACAGAAAGGGGAGGAGAGTCAGACGTTATGAAATTTTCTGGGAAAGGGAAGAGGTTTAGCACAGGAGATTAAGGCCTAATGGGAACGGACCCACCCGGTGGAGAATCTTGGCGACATTGCATGCAAACTCCACTCCTTAAAGGGTTCACTCCACGGTTGGGGTCATTATAATATAATGACCGAAAATCTAATACTGCATCCACCGATTACCTTTTGCAATTTCAAGGTTTGATGCAACCTGAAAGTTACGAACTACATGACATCTCTTACTGAAATAAAATAAAAAAAAAACTATCCTTGTAGATAGTAGTGTCTTTCACAAAAATACTTCAACAACAACAACATCCAAGCCTTAGTCCCAAAATAGTTTGGGGCTTGGTGCCAAAGTTTGACATGACAAATTAATAAGCAAAATTGATATTGTCAATATCGATACTGAGATGATATGCATTCATATCTTGAAATTGAGAGTGTTGGTTTACCAAATACCTATATATGTCCCAAAGTTCATGTCATTTAAATGCCAAAAAAATAAATATAACTATGTTTCTGCATGCAGGACACAATGCCTACAGAATCCAATAAGCAAAACTCCTATTTCTGTGGTACATTGTTTCACAAATAGCAATGAAGGAAGTAGAGGTCCTAAAATGTCTACAAATACCTACGAAGACCTAGATTGTAATGTAGGAAACCAATCTAAAATGTAAAAAAAAACTAAAATAGGAAAGGGTAAAAATTAAAGTAGATGGAAAGCAGGCTATGCAGAGTATGCACTGCAAATACTCTTTCATATTAGGAGGGCAATAGACAATTTCCATATAATTATTGATGTGTCGATTCTTTTTAATTATGTAATTTATTTATGTTAATTGGTTGTAGCCTGCGATTGTTCAACTATATCTTCAAGTAAGTTTATGCAAGTGTAAACAGCATCTATTATAGTCAGTTAAATAAACTGCACTCTCAGCGAGTCAGCGACAGATTCTATTGTGCAACATAAAATTTGATTATACAATTTTTTCTCTTTGAGTGAGAAAGGAACACATCATTTTACATTCACTTGTTTCGTTTTTGAAAAGTTTGAACGCTCTACAATATTACCCTTTAAAAGTCATGAGACTGTTGACTATAATTACTTATTGGTAAGATCTAAAGAGAAGCTTTTCACAGGGTCACAGAGCTCATAAGAAAACTTTATAGGGCTAGAGTCCTTCTCTGAATATACCTAAGCTCTAAAATAGAAACAACCAATAAAATAATAGAATTCACTACTTTCAATGCCAAGCAAAGAAAGAAGTGCACAACGAATGATCTTTATAAAGAATTGATAGTGTTCATTCAATATCTGATAGATTGTCTGGAATCCTGGAGTGTTGAAAGCGAAACAGGTGTATGTAAAATTGATAGTGTTCAATATCTGGAGTGTTGATTAATACGAAGTAATAATAGTGCAATTCTTAACTAACAAAGTATTTATTAGTCAGGCAACTTTTAACTAACAACAAGCTAGAGCACAGTAATGAAATCCATCATCATAGTATCATACTAATCTAGAAACAAAGGGAAGAAAATGAATCTACATGAGTAAACTAATCAAAGCCTCCTCCTTTCCTTTATCTTGGTGAGGGACCCTCAGAGATTCTCAGTGATCCCACCCAGGCCGATGGAAGTGAAAAAATTAATTGCAAACCTTGTGTTATTCGGGTTGTCCCTTGGAAAAATAGAGGCAAAGGACCCTTGCATTGTTTGGTCATTCAGGCGTTCTTTCAAAAGCCGAATCCCAAGATGTTCATATAATTCTTGAAAGAGAATTTTGATGAAGATGCGGGAAGAGGAGGTGGTATATTCTTCTGTGAGTCGAATGTAAGCCAGAACATGCCAAGGCAGAGCATCTGTTCCAAGCAAGTGGGCAAAGAACTGGGCAACATTTGTCAGTTTATTGGTTTCCAACCGATGAACCGTTGAGTACTGTTGCACAAAGCACTTTTCAAAGTTCTCCTGGTAAATCTTGTTGATCATACAAAAACGCTGACCCAAAAGCCCATAGTAAGAGCGGTAGGTTCTCTCCTGGCTGCAGCACTCTAGAATCATTATGCATAATTCCATCTCTTGACCAGGCTCAAATTTAATCTGCAACAGTTTATGACCTGCTTCCTCAAAGCCTACACTCGACATAATTGTGAGATAGATTGTTCTTCGAAGGTTGACCAAGTTTGTTCCCGTCAGGTCAGTAATTTTCATTTGTTCTTCATGGTCTTCATCCTCTTCATCTTCATCTGCAGAGTCAGCATCAGAATCCCCTTCTCCCTCAGATTCATCACCCAGTATTGCCCTTTTCAAGTCTTCATACTTCTTTTCGTTTTCTAAGTAATTGGGATGAGGCTTGAAAATATTCAGTGCATCTTGGTCTTCTATGGCATCCTGAAGAGATATTTCATGGGTCACCTGATCCTCCTGCTCTACCAAATCGAGCTCCGGACGAACAGCAGGATAACCCTGAAACTTTGATTTACGTATTGCAAAGAGGCCTTCAATCGAAAATACCATACAATCCATGCGGAGTCAAGTTTTGGAGAATAGATCCACACTCAGTAACAAAACCAACTGCAACTTCAACACTGTCAACTGAGGGGTTTTCAAGCAAAACTGAAACAAGTTCAAGAGCAATTACCTCATGAACTACTTGCTGGTTCACAAGATGAGCAAGGAATTTAACAGCTGCCAACAATCTGGGTTTATCATTGCGTTTGTAGGCTCTTTGAATCTGCAAAATAATCCTCCTCAAAAGAAGATCCCCCACCTCTGGAAACTTGGTGTTAACAACAGCAGCCAATGCTGCAAAAACATCAGTAAGCCCAGGAGAAGCCATTTGGGACCTGATACAAGAGCGGCAAAACAGGCCCCTTCCACGAATCAGATTCTCAGCGAACAGTTCTGGAATTATGTTCTTGATATTTGTTGCGGTCACTTTATTAACCACCCCGTTTATACTCTTCCTAAGAGCATCCCACGCCATCCTTTGGGATACCACTGAGCTTTTGTCCTCTGCATCCTCCATCCTCCTAGCCAGCTTAAAAGGAGGGATGTAAACTCCTCCGCTTTCCCCCCACAAATCATGCTTTCTCCTTCTCCTACCATGCTTGTCTTTTTCACCAATTATAATTGTAGTTAACGCCATGAGTTAATTGTAATTGTAATCAGAAGAAGAGAACGATGAGGATATTGAAGACGAAGCGGTGTATATATATATACTCCAACGTAGGGTCGGTCAGGGAATGAGATTGAAAAAAAAAAGAAGAATGAAGGGTGTGGAAGAATATAAATAATAAAATGACACCCCCACAATTACCATCCACACAATCACCATACAAAACTATTCTTGTCTCATAAAAAATAGAGTTTCTTTAATACGATATTACAATAGTAACAATATTTAAGAACAAGACTAAAATAACAATATATTTATTTCCAGTCAAGTAACTTAAAAAAAACCACTAATTGCGAGATAATTAATGTAAATTTAGTGTCATAACTTATGTATATGTTCATTTGTAATCTTGTACGACAACTTCAACTTTTGAACTCTTTCAAATTGTCTAGGTTGTATGTGTTTGATCTAAAACTAGAGATCAACATTCTATGAGAAATTGGTCAATTATAATTGTGATTCAATATATTTATATGAATATATTTGTGTATTACACTTGTGAACATATAGAATTAGTACATATAAACAAAAAAGTACATATAATTTAAGGCTAATTTGAGGGATATTGTCCGAGATAGGATTAAACAAGTTTTGAAATTTTAAAATATGTTTGTTATGTTTTTCTCTAAAAAATAAAAGTGATCTCTGCCATGAGTTAAAAATAATGTCATTAATAATGACAATAAATATTGTCATGTTAATGCTAATATCACAACTATTTTAGGTGTAATGACTCCAATATGGCAATATAAATATTATAATGTTACTCCTATTTTGGGAAGAAAAACTTTACAATCTTATTTTGGAATTCCAAAACTTGTTTACTCCTATTTCAAGAATGTTTACCACAATTTAACCAGTTCAAATTTGTTAGCAAGCTTAAAAATTTAAAAACTAAATCAATTATTAAATTGCATATATATAGAAATTCATGAATTTGAAAAACTAAGTAGACTGATGGATTCCTCGTGGCTCGAATTCGTTTAACTATGTCATGTTTAGCAATAAAGTTGTTATGGAAGCACTAACAATGAGATAATCATAATCTCATTCATTTGGAGTAGGAAATTGAAATAGTTGAGAATCGAAGTTGACAAGCATTATAAAACCAAGTAATGCAATTATCCATTTTTGGCGGCTATGAAGTTTGGACGACTTCTCCACTCTTCTTTTAAAAATTACTTGTCATATTTAATTTTTCTTTTTGGATGGTTTTATATTTTGGGTCTCTTTTTTTTTTTAAAAGATTCTTGCATAAATATTTCATTTACCCAGTAAATAAATGATCCTCTTTTCTAAAATTAAATTTTGAACATCCAAAAAAATTGTTCTTTGTGATCACTATATGTAGTCTTTCTTAAAAACCGTATAAATCAAATGGTGACAAGTAAATTGAAAGAGAGGAAGTATATCTAATAAGAAAGTTCATTTAAGGAATATAATAAATTTTGAATAGGATACTTATTGAGGTTAATGAGGTAGCTGGAGTAGTCCCCGAAATTTAATCCCGTTATATTTAGGAGAACAACATTTTTGTGAGATATATTTGAAGTGAGTGTTTTGAGCAACCTTTAGGTAGCTTATTCATTTGAAGGTATTGTTGAATGATTTTAGCTTACTCTGCAAAATAGCTAATTGGTTCTAATAATTATTTCTTGCAGGGTCTAAATTGAAAATTAAAGTCTCTGTGATTATTTCTATTACTATTTAGTATTTACCAATTCCAGGGTCGGTCCTGGGGCATGGGCAACGGGGCATGTGCCCAGGGCCCATTGCTCCCCTAGGGCCCATAAGTTTCCCTGTTGTATATATATACGTAGTACATTTTTTAATACTATACGATAGTATACATTATATATCTATAAAAATTTAAAAATAAAATCAAACTTATAATCTTTTATACTTTTAATTCAATATTCAACAACACCTACAAGCTACAAGTTTAAAATTTTGAAATTAAACATCCACACTGGAATTCATTGGAAACAAACTTCACCATTTCTTTTGATTCATTAAAAGTTAGCACATAAATGTTCATCTTTTCATCTACTTCCCTCATGCAATCTCATGATCTATTGATAATATTTTAAGAGCATCTCCAATCTACAATGTGCACGGTGCACATGTGTCATGAGAGATAGCCACATAAATATTAGCAAATAAATTAAATTATCCCTCTCCTTATTTGAATGATTTTATACAATTTTAGTAAGTTTTCTCCACAATGTCAAGAAGACCGTCTAGATGTTGACATTGTGGCAGATATTATTGCAGAGAAAAACTTACCAAATTTGTATAAGATCATTCCAATAAGGAGATAGGTAGATAGTTTATTTGATACAATTTAATATGGTATTAATATTTTTTCAAATTGGTGCCCCTAATGCTTTTGGTGCCCTAGGCATATATGCCTAGGTGCCTACCCCCAAAAGCCCGCTCTAATACATATACAAGATTACAATTCAAATCGGGAACGTGGAGCACATTATTTAGAACCAATTTATCTGATAATATGACACGTCCTTCTTGATTAGCCATAACAGTCTGGCCATCGAGAAGACCAACTGAGCATGATTCAATAGATTTAATTTGACATAGAATGCCAAATTTCCACACACGTGATTAGTAGCTCCTGTATCAATTATCCAAGCATTACTATCGAACTTGTAACACTTGAGATTTAATATAAATGGAGTAATAGTATTACTCATACCAACAGAGGTGCATCTCCTTTTAAGGGAGCTCATCACCCAAGAACTCCAGAGTTAAGCGTGCTTGCACGGGAATAGTCTTGGGATGGGTGACCCCATGGGAAGTTTCTCAGGGCGCGCATGAGTGAGGACAAAGTGCGTGGTAAAGGCTCGTGGTGGTTTGTGGGGACAGTACTAGAGGTCTGGAGTAACTACTTCGGCCCCTGTGGGGCCGGGGTGTTACAGGTGGTATCAGAACAACCCTGCGATAGTGTGTTGATCCGTTGGATATCGGGCAGGCACTTAGCAGGGGAAAAGATTCTGGAATTTGATTGAGATTAGTTTAAGGGCGTAACGAGCACGTTGCACCCTTAAATTACCAAAGGCCGAAATAAGAATTATCCATAGTTCTGCCGTAAAGCCTGGCAGTGGAGCGGACTGCTGCCCACTACCTCCGTTACCATTATCAATGTTTGGAGCTTGGTGCTATTTTTGGAATATTCTGGACTACCTATTTATTTTAGTTACGTAATTATTTTTTATTTGTTAGTGATTGAATTTGTTTAGAATACTTCCTTTTTTATGGATAGCCAATGCATGATTATAAATTTAGTGACGTACGACTATTTTGAAAAATACAGAAAATAGATTTGCTTCTTCTTCTATGTGATGGAGTAATGGGACTAGGCCTAGAGCCTAATCGGCCCAATCCCCGAACTTGGACCCGCCTACCAACCCAGCGGGGAACCTGCCAGCTAGTAATAGTAACGGTCAAGCAATTAATGTGTTGTTTAATTATGTATTTAATTCCGTATTAATGTTGTAATTAATTAGTCATTATTATCGATAGCGGTTACGAATTGTATATGCCTATAAAAGGCACGTTGTAATTCAAACTAATGGCCCGAATTCTATATGCTATTCTTGGCAACTAAAATTCCTGAGCAACTTTCCATTCTCATATTATCTTCTTGATTCCTGTTCGAGTGTTCTTACGTAGCTTTCGAAAAAGCCTACGAGCGTCCTATTTTAGATCAACATTGGTGTTTTCATTGAGAGTCTCTGTTATCTCTCACATCACTCTAGTAGGAATTACCAAAAAAATTCTGAAAATGGGAAAGATCGAAAGCTTCTAGCAATTTTCCAGGTCTGTAACTCAAAATCGGGAAGATTAATGAAAAAATGGTCCAGTAGATCCGGCAGCTTGAGCGCGCCACTGCAGAAGCTGGCCCCCTGTTGAAGCTCGGGTGGAACGACTCCCTCTCTCTCCAGTAGATCCGGCCAAAGCCAATTTTCAAAATGTGGAGACTGGCGGTGGGTCTCCTCTCCTCTCAGGCGACAGAAATAGCTTCCAATAAAATCAAGAAAATCATCTCATGATCTCAATCACAAGAAATCAATCTGAAAAATCCAGAGGAGGAGGAGGAGGAGGAGGAGGAGGAGGAGGAGGAGAAGAAGAATAATCTGGAATTTTTCAGTGAGGAGGCTTTTCGGCCAGATCCGAGCGGTCATCCAGAGCGGTGACAGCAATGCTAGTCATTGCTCAAAGCTTCTGATCTCTCCACCTATTCCGCCATATGGCGCCCTGAAGCTTTTGGGGAAGCAACCGATGGGCGATGACACCACCTCGAAGACTCCTGTCAAACCCGAAGATGAGACACGTCAACCCAGCAGCCAGCGAAGAAGTACGAGCTCTGGTGCTGGTTCTGCCATCTCTCATACAGAGGCGTCCACTGCACTCATGCTCGCACCACCCCTGCGTAAGTCGCTGCCGCAGCTCCACGACCAGGAAGGAGATGACGATTCAAGCCCAAGTAGAGTCCCTCCCGATAGAAACCTTAAGGCACGGGGTTTGAAGTGTCCGTGTCCGTAGTCGCCGGGAGTATCTCTTAGGGGTGGGCACGGTCCGGTCCGGTCCAATATTTGGCCGAACTCGTACCCGTATCGTTACTATTGAAACGGTTCGGTACGGTTCGGTCTTAGACCCAAACCCGTTCGGTACGGTCCATTTTCAAACGGGACGGTACCATGCCATACCAATGTCAAACAAGGTCACTTTTTTCAAGTGTTTAAGAAAAAATTAAAGTTTAGCCATCCTCCAAAAAATCCACACAATTTATCAATTTTCATATATCATACTACCTTCGTTCCAAATTGATTTGCAAAGTCAATCTTTTTTGGTCAAACAATTTCTTTTTATTCTAATTTAACCTTTCAAAAAAACTACTCCGTACTTCGTATATTTTAATTTGGATTTTGCAACTTTAGAGAGATTTTAATGTGGTTTCTAAATATGTAAATTTTAATTATTAAAAATTGTATTAATTATCAAGAACTTAACATTAACTTTGACAAAAAAATGTT